TGTAAGAAAAGGCTCTGTGTTTCAAACTTGGGAAAGGATATGGGGAATAAACTACAGTGACTTGGATTTCCTGAAACCTTCCTAAGAGCTGGACAAGAGCACATCCTACAAGCCAGAAGCCAGCATGTACCCTCCCTTCCATTCCCTGAACAGACAGTCCAAGGTCTCAAGTGACCAAGCAGCTAGATGCACAGAAAGGCTGGGCTGGGCTGGGTTGAGCTGGGCTGGGCTGGGACTTCCACCACCAGAGGAAATCCTGGCTCTGGTGCTACAGATCCAAACATAATCAGCAACAGGACTTCCGAGAACATAAATAGTACTTTGAAATAATGGTGAAGAGGATGATGGGCTGACCCAGGGCTGCCAAGCACTCTAGAAATATTGGCCCCCAAGCTGCTCTGGACACCCAAACCAGGCCCACCCTCTCCACCTATATTCAATCCACTTAGGTGGTCTCTATAGCAACCAGGCCCATATTTGGTTTATTCCTTTCCTTAACCAGTGAAAGAAAGCAACCCCTATGCCCACTCACATTTTGTTGTTGTTGTTGTTAAGAGATTTTTGTCATAGGGTGTATGCACCGACCAGAGAGAGTGAGAGAGCACGAAATTACCCCCAAAGGGGATGGCCATGCCACAATCCCTTCTCCTCCATTCTTCTCTTGAAATTTTGGGCACCCACACACATATGTGCCCGGTGTGAGTGTCAAATCACCAGGTCCAGGCCTTGAGTCACAGTCAACCATGCAGGAGTCCAGCACTTTTACCACTATGCCACCTACTAGCCCTGCCCACTCACATTTTGTATGCTGATGGTCAGCTGTGTCTTAAAGTCGCCGAAATCCTTGGCCAGTTCATAACCATGGTGATAGAAAGTGAAGAGTCCTTGCAGGAAGGCCAGCAGCTGTGATGAAGGAAGAAAGGCAGAGGTCACATAAATGGGGTTGGAAGTATGTAGGTGTATCTGATTCCCAACACTGGTTTAAAACTCTGAAAAAAAAAATATATATATATATATATACTATGCAGTTCGCGTCTTAGATCCAGTGGCTTGAAAATCATGCTGGGCATGGGGGTGTGCGTGCCCAGCCCAAGATCCTGGAAAAAGAAGGAGAAGGGATGGTGAAGTGGCCATCCCCTTTGAGAGGTGATTTCTCACGTTCCCTCTCATTGTCTCCATCACTCGCTCTCTGGCTCGCTCTCTCGCTCGCTCTCTCTCTCTCTCTCTCTCTCTGGCAAGTCCACATGCCTTAAGGCAAAAACCTCTTAAACAAAAAAGGTATTAATAATAACTAGCACTTAATAACTAGCACTTACTGAGTACCACTTACATGCCAGGCACTGTTTCATTAAATATAACAACCTACAAACCAATTACTACTTTTATCTCCATCTTAATAATGAAGAAACTGACTTCAAGAGGTTAAGTAACTTCCCCAAAATACACAGTAAAGGGCAGCCAGGATTTAAAACCAGGTCTGCTCTGTATCAACACCCATGCTCTTTCCCTCTGTATCAACACCCATGATCTTTCCCTCTGAGCCTCACTGCCCTCGAGGGATATTGAAGGAATATTCAGAAACTAAAAGGCCAAGACTCTAACTCAGCTTTCCTCTAGTCTAGCTGTAATGTCAAGTTAACAAGCAGAAGAGGAAGACAGCAAAGGAAGCTGGTGTGTGCAGAGTCTGCAATCCAACGGGCAAAATCAAATAAGAGAAAAGGATACCGATCAGACTTCAGCTAAGGTGTGTTTCTGTGCTTTCCCTAATCAAAAATAAGCACTTGGGATTCCTTTATTAAAAATTTTCCCATGTCCCCACATTTTCAGTTTTGTTGGTTTCCCTAAATTCTCATTTAAATCCCCTTCAGCTAAAAAGACCATTCACTGCTTAGTCTTGTCTTCAGTAAACAGTGGAAAATGTGCTCACCAACTCTCACAACATGCCTTCCAACACTTCAAACTATTAATGTCCCGACTCTGTGCCCTGCCAGTCTTCAGTCTCCAAGCTAAACAATGTTCCTCTGATCTTTCCTCTCTTAACCTCACTGTGGTTAATGTCTTCCTGGTTCGTTCCCAAGTCCTATACATCTTGCCTCAGTTCCAAAGTCTCACCTGAAGAAGGGATTAGAATCAAAGCCCTCACTAGGCTTAGAAAGACCCGAGCTTCACCTCTGCCCATGCTCACCTCTGCCCTACCCCATGTGGGGCCCACTCCGTTCTACTGTTAGCCTCTCAAGGTTGACTCACATTGTGTTAGTGGTCTACTCTGACCTCCCTAACCTGCCTCCACCACAGAATACTACAAGACACATCTGCTTTCCTTTATATTGCTGTTTTTCATTTTCAGTCCCTAAATGAGCACACCCTTCTTTATTAAACTTAATCCCATTGTACTTGTTTGTTACCTCGTTTCCCTTTCCTGAGGGGCACAACCCTAATACTGACTGTAAAGAGAACTCATCTCACCCACTTGCCCTGCTACGCTGCTACCTTCCTATGACAGGAACAGTAAGCACCGTGTGTGTGCTAGCCCACCTGAGCTCAATGGGAGACCTGTCTTCGGGCTAAGCCACATCTCCAGCCCAGTTTATCAAAGACCACTGCAATAGGAAGTCAGACTACACTCAGATCATACAAATAAGGTATCTTGGGACCAGCAGGTGGCATGGTGATTAAAGTGTTGGACTCCTACGTGGCCAACTGTAGTTCAAGTCCCAGACTTGGCGGCTTGCTTTCTCATTTTCCCTTTCTCTCTTTCTCTGTCTCTTTCTGGTCAAATGAAAAAAAAATAATAAATAAAATAACTAATTTTTAAAATAATAGTAATAATAAGGTATCTTGACTTCTCACTGCCTGGCTGCAGTTTACCTGTCCCCTTAGATTATCATGGAAAGTGGGAGAATAGGCATGGCTTGGTTCTCTGGCTATAAAAACATCTGGTAGCACCATGTACAGATCCTTAATGGCTCAGTGGTTAGCTACATAGCGTCACTGAAGATTATACTGGACTCTCTTCAAAGATGGCCAAACCCTTTGGACTATTTAAATACTCTATTCAAAGTACTTCTTTTGAGAAGGCCCTTACCTTTCCTCCTCCTGGCTCCAGTAGTGAAGAAGAGCCTCTAATCGCAAACTTAGTCCCAGTTCTCACAATAGAAATTATTCTTCCCTCTTATCTCTGCCCTCCTTGTGTTCCTCTGTGCCCCATCACTTCTCCAAGGTACTAAGCCAGCCTCTACTTGAGAATCATGCGGAAGACAAGCAGTTAAATTCTAAGGTCATGCCTCCTGTTAACTCTAGCTTATCCTGCACTCCGACCCAGCAGGGTCTCTCTTGTTCAGGGTAATTAAATACTCACGAACAGCCCGCGGAGGTGCCACCTGAACATACACACGAGCTCTCCAAAGGCAGAGAGTTAATGATATTTACTTTGGTTCCCGCTTCCTTTGGTCTCATGCCTTGACTATCCATTTTCCAAGGGAAATGATTCCTTAGATATTGTTATTTTTGGCCATCTTCCCCCTTCCCTCTCCCCTCACTGCATCTTTTATCCACTCATCACCTTCTAACATCTTCCTTCCCATATCCTACATGAACCTTTGAACTTATTCCCCAGTGGGAAATGAAAGCCCACTCCTCAGGAGAAAGGGCAAGGCCCATGGAAAGGCCCATGGAAAGACCCCAGAGATGGGAAAATCTGTCTGTACAAATAAATGCTTCTATGCAGAAATAAGTAGGAAGAGCTGGCTACAGCTTCACCTGTTTTTCAGGTAAGAGGCATCAGCTCATCCACTGAGAAACCACAAATTACAGCCCGACAAAGGGAAAACTTTCCCCAGCTTCCTTTGCCTTCTTCCCTATCCTTGTTCTCCTCAGAATAAACGTAAGCAAAACCTATATTTACTTTGAAGTCTACAGTATGAATATAATTTATTTTATTAAGAAGGTACAAACAAGGACCAGCCAGTGGCATAATGGTTAGGATGCTAGACTCCCACATGGCTGAAAGTGGTTCAAGTCCTAGACCCGGCAGCTTGAAACTCATGCCAGGTCCATGTACATGTGCACCTAAAATCCTGAGAGGAAACTGGAGGAAAAGGGACTGCAGTGTGGCCATCCCCGCTCCATCCCCGGGCGGTGATTTCTCACTTTCTGTCACTCTCGTCAGCACACACATCCTATAGCAAAGATCTCCCTTCAAAATAAAATGTTTTAATGTGAAAACAAAACTGTAACTTCTCAAGTTACTGTTGCCCACATTATTCTGAATTGCCTGATAAATCCAGGTTGTCATCATGCACATTCAGTGTTATGGGTTGTATTATGTCCCTTGGGCGGGGGGGAGGAGGGACAAGTTGCATTCCTAACCCTAGTACTTCAGAATGTGACTTTATTTAGAAATAGGATCTAAATAAAGAAATGGGGTCTTTTTAGAGGTGATCAAGTTAAAACGAGGTCATTCGAGTGGGCCCTGATACTTTATGAGGATAACATGACTGTTGTAATTATAAAAGGAAGAAAGTGGACACAGGAGGAGGACATCCACATGAAGAGGAAGGAGAGGAGTGATACATTTATTAGCCAAGAATGCCAAAAACTGATGGCAAACCAACAGAAGCTAGGAAGTGGAAAGGTTTGCTTATGGGTTTCAGAGGGTGTGTGGCTCTACCAGCATCTCGAGTTCAGGTTTCTGGCCTCTAGGACTGTGAGGTGATAAATTTCAGCTGTTTTGAGCCTCCCAGTTTGTGGCATTTTGTTTCAGCAGCCAGAAGCTTTGCTTGGGCAACAAAGAAAGGGGCAACCAGTGGAGTGAGGAAAAGCCAACGTCAAGTCACAAAATACCCTTTCACTTATCTTTAACAGGAGGATAATAATGGTCCTATTACTACACAGGATTCGGAGGAAGATCAATTCAGATCATCTCCGTCATTAACGTAGGAATGCTGCCCAGAGCTGTTCAACAAGAGAGAACTCTCATCAGACGGGTGTGGGAGATGATACGCTGTGGGCCGGACCAGACTGGGAGGCCAGGACAGAGTGCCACAGACCAAAGGGGAAGAACGAAGATCTGCAAAGGAGCAGAAGTAACGGGGGAGGAGAGGAAGGCACAGCACCGAGCGATACTCAGAGGACGCAGCACCTGGTGAGCTGGAGAATGAGTTCACTGCAGCACGAGCTAACCTTCAATTATGAACACTCAGGGAACAGAGGGAACGTGGCTTCACCTTCATGAAGTCGGTATGTCATTATCTGCCATCCCAATCTCCAGAACACTGAGTACCTTGACAAGAAAATAAAGGCTTCTGGTACAAAATACGTTCACACGTGGTTTGGATCCCAGAAGTCTGATTTTTATTCCTTGGAACACTGAAACTTTCTCTCTTTTTTCTGAAGGTCAATAATATCCTGGAACCTGAAGTTACTTTCTAAGAAAAAGGGGAACGTGGTCAACGTACATGGTGGTTCCATGAATGGCTGGAAGATTCCCTCGACTGCAACCAACACAACATCTTAAAAACTCACAGCCAGGGGCCCTAGCAATTTCCCTCAATAATTTCTTGCTGGTTCCCTTTGCACCTTTAAGCAATCAAGCGCTGCTTTGCAGAGATTAAGAACCAGATCGTTCTAACTCTGCTGTAGACAAGATACTAGACAAGTAAACTTACATGTCTTCGTTTCTTCGTCAGAACCGACCTTCAGTGATGCAATAAGGATTGAATGACGTAATGTGGGTGAAGTGCTTAGCACAGTACACCTTTCAGCTGAGCTTATCAATTGTCACTTCTCATTTTTCCTTTGCACAAACTGAGCCAGTGGCTCAAACTATTACAAGCAGAATCACCTAGAGATAATCTTACAGATTACTGGGCTCTCTACTTACATTTTAGGCCCGGGCTAAATGTAAGAATTTGCATTTCTAACACTTGGAGAACCACTGACCTCATCAGCTTTTTCACTGCCTGAGTATCTTCTCTCTTTCTCCAGCCCCTGAAGTCACTGACATGACCTGGCCTGACCTGACCCTGCTCAAGTGGTCAGTGAGAAGAACTTTTTTTTTTTAATTTTAGAAGAGGTTTTTGTTATAGGGCACGTGTGCTCGCCAGAAAGGCAGAGAGACAGAAAGCGAGAAATCATCCCCCCAGGGAGGATGGCCACGCCGCATCCCTTCTCCTCCATTCTCCTCTAGGGATCTTGGGCACGCACGTGCACACGCCTGACGTGCACACGCCTGGGGCCAGGACTCGAACCGCAGTCAATTACATGGAAGTCCAGCAACATAGCCATTACACCAACTGCTGGTCCTGAAAAGAACTTCTTAGAAAGTGAAAGCTAAATATCTACAACCTATACCTAGCCTGTCAACCAATTCAGCTCATTTAACTTTGGGCAGATCCCTACCACTTTTTCTTGGTCCAATCATGAGACTAGAAGTTTCTTTTCAATAGTATGACCTGAAAAACATCTGCAAATCTCAAGTTTTCTACTCTTTTAATCCCTCTGGTACTTCCTGTCATCCCTCCTGCCCAACCTGTCGCTGACTAGCTCCCTACCCGGGCTAGCTCTCTACATAATACACCTTGCTTTTACCATCAGGGTGTGAGCTCCTCAGACACCCCAGCTGGGACCCTGGCATTTTCCACAGTCGTCAGCAAATAAATGCTTGTAGATCTACCAAGACTATATCAAAACAGGTGGGAACTGTCATTTGGGCATTTGATTCATTTGCTCATAAATAAATAACTGCTGATTCTTAACTGGGCGCTAATCAGGTTCTGATTATGTGTGCACCTTGCACACATAAACTCAGTCAATCCTCACAGCACCTTTATAAGGTGGGCAGTATTATAACCCCCATTGTATAGATGAAAGTAAGGCTCAGAGAAATAACCTGCAAAGAACACCCAGCCAGTAAATGGCTAGGCTGGGACTGAAATTCAGGCAGTCTGGCTCGAAAGTCTTTTACCGGGACGAGCAGATGGTGTAATGGCTACATCGCTGGACTCCCATGTAGTCGACCACGGGTTGAGTCCCGGACCCAGTGGCTTAAACTCATGCTGGGTGCATGTGCGTGAGTGTCCAAGATCCTGAGAGGAGAAGGGAGGAGAAGGGATCGCAGCGGGGCCATCCCCCTTGGGGGGGAGGGTGATTTCTCACTTTCTGTCTCTCTGTCTCTCTCTGATTTTCTGGCAAGCGCACACACCCTATAGCAAAAACCTCTCAAAATAATAATAATAAATAAAGTATTTTACCATGATGCTACTGCCTCCTAAAGTCAGCAGTCCCTGAGACACAGACATATAATAACAGAATGCCCTCATTAAAAAAAAGGAGGGGCGGAGGGGCAGGGAGAGGGGGGAAGAGGAGAAAAATACAGTAAAATCAGCAAAGCCATTTAATGGAGCCCAGCCTGAGAGGGATAAACCGTACATATATGTGAGAAATAAACATTTCTCATTGTATGAAGCTTGGCGGTTGTCACTCAGCAAAAGTGAAAAGATACAATACTAACTCGCCAGGTACACCTACTGAGAGACTGAAGTGGGAAATGAAAAGTCACCTCAAAAAAGTCAAATAAGTCAATAAGAATACAGAAGGACTTTAACAAGTTTGTTGAAAAATGGAATTAAAGTATGAGTTTATTTCTGTGCACAACAAAAATGAAATCCATGCACAATTTTTTCAAAATATAGTTTCCATGAACTTCTTTAAAAAGGATTATTTAATTTTATCTATTATTGTTATTTTTTTTTAATTTGACCAGAGAGAGAAAGGGAAAGTGAGAAAGCGAGCTGCCAGGTCTGGGACTCGAGACACATTTGGCCGGTGAGAGTCTAGTACCTTAACCAATATGCCACCTGCCATTCCCTCCATGAACTTTCTAAAGACCTTTCATAAAATTTACCAAAAGCAGACAACTGTAGAAAGATATCGATCAGTGAATATATAGCAATGCTTCAAATCACACTGTTCTTTTCATACAGAAATTTCACACAAAAATAGTGTTACAGGCTAATTCTGTGGGCCAGCATTTGAATTCCTGTGCTGACCACAGGAAAGGAGTCCTCAGAAAACCCTTGACTGAAAGGCTGGCCGTAGCATCTCTGTCCCCTAAGCAGGGAAGTCAGTGAGCCTGCTTCTCCGATGGAGGGCTGCTCACACCTAACAGAACCTGCACAATGGGGACTTCAACCTGAGACCCTGTACACCACCACTGCTGGACAAGAAGCTGGCTCTAACATTTCCAATATTCAGATAGTAAGTCTGAGGTAACTAAGGACTTTAAGAAATTTGCCAAGGGGCCAGCAGGTGGCGTATTGTTTTAGGTGCTGGACTCCCACATGGCTGACTGTGGTTCGAGTCCTGGACCCAGTGGCTTGAAATTCACGGCAGATGTGTGTGCATATATACCCAAAATCCTGAGATGAGAATGGAGGGGAACAGACTGCAGTGTGGCCATTCCCTCTGGGGTGTGATTTCTCACTTTCAGCCTCTCTGTCTCTCCAGCGAGCACACGCACCCTATAGCAAACATCTCCCTTTAAAAAAATTAAAAATTACTACCCTTGGGGGGTGATTTCTCGCTTTCTGTCTCTGTATCTCTCTCTATATATAAATCTAGTACACATGCCCTATAGCAAAAACTTCTCAAAACAAAACAATTGCAAAAGAAATGTAATCACTATAAATTTATATGTGATTCAATGTAATATAAACAAGATTATGATATTAACAAATTTTTTAAAAAGTCAAAAAAATTGCCAAATGAGGTAGCCGGCAGTAAAACCCTGAAATGCCTTTCTCCTCTGTTTCTCTTTCTTTTGGGAGTTTGGGCAAGCACGCACATGTGCGGGTGTGCGTGTCAATCTTCTAGGTCCGGGACACAAACCACATAGTCACGTGGGACCCAGCCCCCTTAACTACCATCCCTCTGGCTGGTGCAGAAAACTACCTTCTCCTAAGTCCAGGTAGATAAGAATCTCATTTGCAGAGATCTTGGACTTGAATCTAAATGCATTTCAGCTGGAAAATTCAAGGTCTGTGAGAATTTTTCATTGAGGCCCACAGGCTATTCTGGTGTTTCTATTAAGTCTTCCACTGTGGATTCTGTGCCATGGCGGGAACAGCAGTCCCACCCCTGAACAAAACCACAACCACATTTATGTACCCTCAACTAAAATCAGATTTCTTCCCACAATGCAGTCTCTCATGCCCACTGGGACACCTGCCTACGTCCAAGTTCCACCGCAGGGCACTCAGCAGAATCCACGTGCTCAGCTTACAGCAAATCCCCATGAGAAATGGCTTTACATGGCACCTTGTAATACCTGAACGTGGTAAGGAAGGGCTCTGAACCCATGGGGCAAGAAGGACAAGGTACTACGTATATTCCTCTATTCCCTGGAGTTACCCTACATTTGGGTTACTTGAGGGAGACAGACAGGGTGGGAGAGGAAAGGAGGAAAGCAAAGGTGTAATCATTATTTCCTAACAAGACGAAAATACCTCCCCTCCAGACTCCCACTTCTGCTCCTTCCACCTGGAAACCAACGGCACACCCACCGAGAAGATACTGCTGACTGTTCTATGCCCACTGCTGGGGCTGTACAGGAGTGGCTGCCAGGAAGGCGCCCGGGTGGCCAGACTGACAAAGCCCTGTCACGTGGCAGAAGACGCAGCATCAGGGCTGGTCAACCTCTTCATCAGCAACCTAGAGCATGGATCCTCACCCCTGGGCCAAAGACTGGCCCACTGGGCTGCACAAAGGGGAGTGGGCAGTAGGTAAGTGAGCGAGGCTTTGAGTTTGCAGCCGTTCCCCATCACTCACACTGCCACCTGGGCTTCTCCCCCTGTCGAATCAGCAGCGGCATCTCATCCTTAGAGGTCCCTACTGTTGAGTGATTGTTTCATTGTATACTACAATGTGGTAGTAGTGGAAAGGGGGAGCACGGTGGATATGGTGTGCTTAGGTCACCCCAGGACTAACCCCCAACCCCCCTACGCAACCAGGGAGGGACTGTTTTCCACAAAGCCAGTCCCTAGTGCCAGGAGGGCTAAGAACCACTGACCTGGAAGACTTTATAATCTACTAGGTAGTTAGGTAGCATGGTTACCATTATTAAACCCCGAACATCTACTTACAGGCTCCACAAACTCAAACATCTTTCTCTCCTGGACTTCTTGCACCTTGAAGACATACTCCAGGGATACTTCATAGAAATGCTGTCGGACCAGGTCCACCTGGGTGTCTGCCTACAAACGGGATGGAATTTCAGAGAAAAATCAAGTCATTACCCAAGGAGAACATTCAGCAAGCAGGCCAGGAAATAATCTCTGGAGATAACTTTTAAAAAGACAAATGGGCCAGCAGGTGGTGTGATGGTTAAGGTGCTGGACTCCCACATGGTCAACCACAGTTCAAGTCCCAGACCTGGCAACCTGCTTTCTCACTTTCTCTCTTTATCATTAAAAAATAATAATAAATAAAATAAAATATTTTCAATTTAAAAGGAAAAAATAAATGCTAAATACACACTAGTACACATAAGTCAATGATTCATAGACTGGCTAAGCCTGGGAGTGGGGGGAGGGGAGGGGAGATAGTGGTGGCCCATGCTTCGAGTCCTGGACCTGGTGGCTTGCTTTTCTCACTTTTGCTCCCTCTTGGTATCTCTCTGCTGAACATGTGTACCCTGTATCAAACTAGTATAATAATAATTATTACAAATAAAATTTAAGAAGTAATTAAAAAACAAAAGAAAGAAAGTAGATGGATTTTACATTTAATTTAATTTGTTATAAGGCACAGGTACTTAGAGAAAAAGTGAGAAATCACCCCAAGGGGGAATGGTTATACCACAATCCCTCTTCCTCCACTCTCCTCTTGGGGCTTCGTACACATACACACACGTGCCCAGCATGTCTTTCAAGCCACCAGGTCTGGGACTCAAACTGTGCATCCAGCCATATGGGATTAACCACCTTAGCCAACATGCCACCCACAGGCCCATAAGTGGATGCATTTTTTTAAAAATAAATAAAAAGGGGACCAGCAGGTGGCATGGTGGTTAAGGCGCTCGACTCCCACGTGGCCAAATGCAGTTCAAGTCTCAGACCTGGCAGCTTGTTTTCTTTCCCTTTCTCTCTCTGGTCAAATTTTTTTAAAAATAAGTAACAAATGGAATTAACTAAATAAATAATTCCTTAAAATAAATAAATGCCACAAAAAGAACGATGGCTGTAGTAACCATTTCCCTATGTTTTAGCAGATCAAAACATCATGTTGTAGGGAACCAGCAGTTAGCGTAATGGCTATGTCGCTGGACTCCCACGTAGTCGACTGCGGTTTGCGTCAGCCCTATAGCGAAAAAACCTCTCAAAAAAAAAAAAAAAAAACATCATGTTGTACATCTTAAATCCACATAACAACAACAACAACAAAAAAAAAGATGGAAAAAAAGCCCTCAAATGGAATTATAGATTATAAAAGGGAAAGCTAAAAGAACAACACATTAGCCCAAATGGCATGTTACAATATTAAAAATAACTGCATTGTAGAAACAAACAAAAAACCAAAAGTAATGATAATGGAGTAGCCCAGAGTACAGCTGTTAAGCAGTGTACAGAAAAAGCCAGACCCATATGACTGACCAGAGCTCAAGCACCAGCCCTGGCATGCTCGGGCTCCTGATGGGATGGAGACTAAGAGGAAAAAGAATTGTGGCTTGACCAGGCCCTGCTGGCTGGCTGAGCACTAACTTTGTGTCAGGAACCAACCTACTGATGTACATGGACATCCTTATTTAGCCCTCCTTAATTCTGCTTATTTAATCCTCATTAAATGCCTATAGAGGAGATATTATCTTTATTTCTAACTTGCAAGAGGAAAATAAAGTCCACTAACGTTAACGAACTCAACTAAGGTCACGCAGCTAGCACAGGGCAGAGCTGGGGTTTCCTTCCTGGTAGATAGCATCTAACACTCTGGATCCTTTTTTAAATCACTAGGCTGTTAGGCCCTTCCCTGGCCCTGGGGCAGAGTGTGCTTCAAGGCAGACAGATTTTTAAAGAAAACTCATAGAGCCATCCTCATGTGTCCTTTGTAACAAGCCAAACAAATTCTGAGAGGGCAGGGACCTCAGAAAAGGACATTTCCACATAAGCACCAAACTCTTTCTTGTAATAAGGGTAAAGAGAACAATTACATTGCTCCCTCCAAATTTCACTTGTCTCTCTGGGCAGGTGTACGTCTGGGACAGGCCCACAAGGTACAATTAAATCACAGATCTGAAATCTAGAAACCACT